GCGAAGTGATCGAAGACTAAGATGTAAGATGGTTGAAATGATCTGGCAGGTAGCTTGAATCCAAGATTATTCCTCAGTTCACACTCGCTGCTCGGAATTATATACAAAATAGAGAATGCAGATACTTCATATATCACTCGGACAAATATTCCCCAGTTTCATGGTGGAAAAATGTTGTGATTCAGTTATAAATTCCACGATTAACCTCTTTTAAGACTGACAACTTTATACCGATAAACAATTCATTGCAACTATCTCATTCTCATACATTGAAACTGTTTCTTCTCTTTTTCTACGAAGTGAAACGATGATCTCTTCCCTCAAATATTTTGATTATTTAGCCTCATTCTTTACTTGGTCTCCTCCTTCCTTCCCACTGTGATCTTTTCTTGGAATAACAGAATTACAGATTGTTCATTTCAAAAGTTTACGTTCTAAACAGCACTGGGATATACGCAAATTATATAGAACCTGACTAGATCACATCACACCATATAGTATGAAATAAGTATTATACAGGTTAAGTGAGAATAGGGAGATAGTTACCCTTGGTAGGAGAATAAATAAATAAAAGTAAACCGTACAATAGTAGTCAATATAATTTAGTTAATACTTGGACGACTAAACGAACGAGACTTTAGAGGTTGATGGTTAATCAATCAGTTTTACATATCTTAGTTTCACTGAAAATTTATCGGCCCCCGAATATCTCCATAGTGAAGTATGAAAATATGTAGCTTGGTGTTATTGGGAGCACCAGTCCTCCCAAAAACATTACAAGTAGGCCTTGATGATGAGTGCTAGTCAGTATGAAACTTCTGTCAAGATTGGATATTCAATCATTATACAACAAGATTAAATGTATGGTAGTACTAGTAGTAGTACCAGTAGAAACCAAAATTCATGGAAGTTTCATATGTTCTCTTTACTTAAGTACAAGATGCGATACAACAGCAGTTTACACAAGTGAATGAAATAAACTGTTTGTAGATAGAGAACGGTTTGTAATTTATTCTTCTGTTATCGATGGTCCACATAAAGAAACTACAATGAGATTGTTGAGGCCTTTCAGAATAAGCATTGTACACAAATTAACATAAACACTACAACAAATACTAAGCAAACCAAAGGACGAATTCACGAAAGAAAACTCAAACATCATCTGCAAAATCAATTGTGCCAACTGTGAACATCACTACATCGTAAAAAGCGGATGGAATCTTCATCTTCTACTGCATGAACATCAATTAGCGATCAAACGCTTTAACGTATCCAAGTATCTTGCCTTTGATTTCTTCGTTGCGGTGAGATGTGTCACTCGTGCTTAAGTCAAAGAAGATTAATAAGAAGGCTGTTGTACTTTTCATCATAATTTCAACCTATTCGTTGTGCAAAAGAACACATCAGCAGACTTTTGAGATTTCAGTAGATTATTAGTGAGGAATTTAAAAGTACAGAAATGAGAAATATCCGGCTATTGATTACTGCATAACGATACATAGTTTCACTCTTTAGATATGAAGAATAGTACGACCTGATTTTCATTCACATAATGTTAGCTGTTTCTTTTCAATGACAAATCGATAAACAGTACAGCTCAATAAGAATAAATGGAATAGTGAAAATGTTAATTGACAAATTTATTAAACGTATCAGCTGAATAAATCCGAACAAGAATGAACTGCAAAACTAAGGAACTGATACAATTATTCGTCGAAGATATTTGATGAGATTGGTGATTTCGCCAGCACCTGGACCGACAACTGAACAGATTCATGCTCATAACAATACTCGAGGGTTGTGAACTTGATCTCATGTGAATTCAAGGGTGGGCTGAAAATGGAGTCCGTGAACAAATTCACTTACTAATCATTTTTCGTTTGAACCAAATTATTGTCTGATGTAACTATTCCTCTTGTCATAAAAAAGTACTGCTAATCAATATAATCACCTTAAGCAATCAACAGGAATATGAGTTTGGTAAAAGAGAACATCTTGATGACTTGAATGTTTGTAGTTTTACTTAACGGACCGACTAATTTTGGTGTCTTAAGAAAATCAATAATATTTGCATATCATTTTTGTCTTTGTACATGATTTCTCTGTATATAACGACAATGAATGACTTCTACCTGTATTATTTGCAATCCACGTAAACAACGGTGGTCATCGGAGTTCTTTCTCATCAGTCTAGTGGATTATTCACTAACTTTAAGTCTGAATGAAGGAGTTATCAGTAGAATGTGAACTCATTTAGCTGAATAGCTTCACGAAAGATCAGATGTGTTTGTTGAATTTTCTTCACTGTCCATTATTCAAGAAATAACCGTTTTATAAATGCAATGATACTTAAATATCCATTCCTTAATTCACATTACTGTCAATAGTCTTGCATATCAATGATTGAAGAATACAGAAACACAAAGGTGTTGAATAGTTTTATACACTTTACCTCTGTGGGTGTATGGAGTTTAGATGATGATCGACAACAAAGTAACTTAATGAAATTCACTTTCAACAAGTCAATTATGGGAATAATTTGGATTGATTACACTGAACCGTGATCATTAATTCATGTCAATCAATGAACAATTCAATATTGGAACTTTTGTGTGAACTCTGGATACATGTCTTCAATGGATGCATCACTTGAAACTCATTTATACAATCAGACATTGTTTGTCTATTTGGAAGGAGATTCAATGAATAATTCATAAATCACACATGAATTAGTAATCCATATACTTTCAACCTTAATCTCTATGCACAAAAGTGACACAAGTAATATTCCTCTTTATGTATAGAATTCATTCTCAAATCCACATTGCTGTTGTTGTTGATTTTATGTTTAATATCTGTTAAATTTGTCTTAGATTGTTCCACTCACTCACTCACTCACTCCCTTTCCACTCTTTTGTATATGGTTTTGTACTACTTATTTACATTCAGTAAGCAATAGTATTCGCAACAATTTTCACATTTATGTTGTCATGCAAGTTGTGGTGTAACATTCTGAAATGTTCACATATATTTATGACGTTTATTGTATTTATCATTGTATTGATCATTTTAATTACTTTACCCTATTCACTACTGCGGTTATCCACAGTTTCATGAATTTGTCTAAATGCATCAGTTTCCATATTGTCTTGCTCTTGGTTCGGTTTTCGGTTGTTCAGAAATTGTTGTCAAATATACACACAAATATCAACTGTCTTTTGTACTATCGTATGATGTAATTATTCTTTATGTACCAGACATCTCACAAGTTGAGGTTGGTAACTAAATTTTGTGTATTATTCCATGAAGAACCGGCTATTGTAGACGAATCATTGTTTCGGAACTTCGGTTTCACGCGTATCTCAAACAGGCGACCAAGACGCTTCCATAGATCAAACAACAATTTATTGAACTGATCATTCAGATGGATTGTTATTTGTGTATATAGTGCAAAACATCATTATATGTAATTCAAAAGGAAAACAAAACCTATCTGTCAAACATCGACACAACTATCAGCTGTCGTTTGTACTATCGTATGATGTAATTATTCTTTATGTACCAGACACCTCACAAGTTGAGGTTTCTAACTAAATTTTGTGTATTATTCCATGAAGTACCGGCTATTGTAGGCATATCGTCGTTTTGGTGCTTCGGTTTGCCCGAACGTTTAGTCTGTTCTGGTAGGCAATCTTCTTGTAGTGGCGATCATAGTCAACCGCAAATCGACGCCATGCTACAGATTATTACAATGTGCACAAAAACCATTTTATCAAATGTTAATTAATTAGATTGAAAAGAGAAAAAAATTCATCTAATAAACTATCATTGAAACTAAAACCAGATGGCTTCTCGCCCATAATTATTAAGAGAACAGTAATGTGGAACATGGGTTTTACCAACCACCACAGTTGATTGCCATTGACTATTGCAAAACATAAAATTGATTCTCTCGTTTTTCGTCTTACATGAATATGAATGAAGAACACAATTACTTAAGCGACATCTCGTTCGTCTAGATGTAGTGACAGGACTTTTAAACCAGCGTATCAAACGAAACGAAATTCTGACTTTCTAAAGAACATTTTGTTCATGAACATTCAATGTAAACGGAAAACATTTCCAGGGATCCTTAAAAACCAAATGTTTCGATGATGAAGCGAAACTTTTCAGATCGTTTTGTTTTGCTTTGTTTATAGACTAGTACATCTATTGACGACAACAAAGCTCAGTGTGAAACTTCATTTATTGAAGGAGCCTTACTTCAGTTCATGATTCGTTTTTTCTCATTTATAAGCCATTTCAATACACATTTACATGCTCTTCATTGTATGATTGGATTATTGAAGCATACATTATGTAAATCTATCTTTGCTAACGACTGGTCTGTTAACATTGATTACTGTACATGCTGAACGACCATTAACTTCAAAGAGCTACTTTATCTACTGTTCAATAAATAATGATTTAGACAGTAACGTAGGTATGCTAAGATGGTTAACTATTTCCATTCATGATTGTCTTGTTGTATTTATTCTTATTACTCCACGTCGTCCGCTTTCCAGTGGATATGTTGATACATATTGAGATTATATTGATGAATTGTCAATAAAGCTATGTATATCTGTGAGAAGCATTCTGAAATTGACTTTATAAATGAACGATTTCTGATACAGGTCAATGAGGTAATGTAATACTATATTTTAAGTGTGTAGGAATAGGAGATTTAATCATAAGCCTTGAAAACCTAATCGATCACATGAAATCATCTGTGCAGATGAACATGAATTGCAGCTTCAGTCACTTCTGGTAGACATCTACTACAATCAACCATGTCTTTGCGTCTTTATGAAAGACTAAGATGTAAGATGTTTGAAGAGATCTGGCATGTAGCTTGAATCCAAGTTTATTCCTCAGTTCACACTCGCCACTCAGTATTATATGCAGTATAGAGAGTGCAGATACTTCATATATCACTCGAACGAATATTCCCTAGTTTCATGGTGGAAAAATGTTGTAATTCAGCTATTAATATTATTATTTCTACTACTACTACTACTACTACTACTACTACTACTACTACTACTACTACTACTACTACTACTACTACTACTACTACTACTACTACTACTACTACTGCTACTACTACTACTACTACTACTACTACTACTACTACCACTACTACTACTACTACTACTACTACTACTACTACTACTACTACTACTACTACTACTACCACTACTACTACTACTACTACTACTACTACTACTACTACTACTACCACTACTACTACTACTACTACTACTACTACTACTACAAAAACTACTACTACTACTACTACTACTACTACTACTACTACAAAAACTACTACTACTATTATTATTACTAACAACACTACGACCAATAATACTACTAATATTACGAATAATACTTACTTACTAATAATACGATTACTAATTGTAATACTAATACTACTAATATTACCAATTCTACTAAAACTACTACTAATAATAATACTATAAATAATACGAATACTACTAGTGCTACTAATACTACCAGTACTAATAATACTAATAATATTACTAATAACACTAATTGTAGTAATAATACTAATTTTACCGATATTGTTACTACTAATACTATTCGTAATACAACAACTACTAGTACTACTAATAATACTACTAATTAAACTACTACTAATACCGCTACTAATATTACTACTCATACTACAACTCTTACTACTACTCATAGTATTACTCACACTACTGCACACATTATTATTGATACTACTACTTATATTATTACTGAGACAAATACTAATAATACTGCTCATCCTACTACTCATGCTACTACAAATAATATTACTAAAAGTACATCTCATACTACTACTCATAACACAACTCATACTACAACTTATATTATAACCAGCATTACTGCTCATACTACTAATAATACAACAACAACTACTACTACTGATACTACTAAAAGTACAATTACTCATACTAATACTAATACTTATAATACTTTTAATACTACTACAAGTACTACTACAAATACTACAACTAATACTACTACTACTAAAAGTACTACTCGTATTATTACAAATACTAATACCATTATTCATACTAACACTCATACGACTATTAATAAGAATACTATTAATAATTCTGCTACTAATAATACTACTACAAATACTACTAATAATAATAACATTAATAATAATATTATTACAACTACTAATAGTACCAATAATACTACTACTCTCAATAATCCTTATACCACAAAAAATACTACTACTAATAGTACTACTAATACTAACACTCATACTACTACTAATATTACTACCAATACTACAACTAGTTCTACTATGAATAGTACTACTAATACTATTACTAATACTACTACTAATTATATTACGCCTGTTACTCCCAATGGAGCATAGGCCGCCGACAAGTATTCTCCAACCCACTCTGTTCTGAGCCTCCTTTTCTAATTCCATCCAATTCTTTTTCATCTTTTTCATGTCTATTTCCATTTCTCGTTGTAATGTGTTCTTTGGTCTTCCTCTTCTCATTTGGCCTTGTGGATTCCATGTGCGGGCTTGTCTTGTGACGCAGTTGTGTGATTTCCTCAATGAGTGTCCTATCCACCTCCAGCGCTTCTTCCTGATTTCTTCCTCCGATGGGATCTGGTTTGTTCTCTCCAACAGTACGTTGTTGCTATTAGTGTCTGGCCAACGGATCTGAAGTATTTTGCGTAGACAACTGTTAATAAACACCTGTATCTTCTGGATGATGGCTTTCGTAGTTCTGCAGGTTTCCGCCCCATACAGTGGAACTGTCTTGACATTTGTACTACTAATAGTACCATTAAAAACGAATTTTATTACTAATAATAATACTAATACTCACACTAATACTCGTACTAGTAATGATACAACTACTCATACACTACTCGTATTACTAATAATATTAGTTCTCATACTACTATTCACACTACTATTAATACTACTATCAGTAATACTACTCATACTACTACTCATACTACTACCCGTACTATTTCTAATACTACTACTAATAATACTACGCATACTACTACTCGTACAACTAATAATACATTTACTATTAATACGATTCATATTAACAATGATACTACTAATAATATTACTCGTCCTACTACTCACACAGCTACTTATAATACTGATAACAATACTACTCATAATACTGCTCATACTACAACTTATAGTATTACTAGTATTACTGCTAATACTACTAATCATACTACTACTATTACTACTACTAGTACTACTAAAAATACTACTACTCACACTATTAATAATACCACTACTAATACTATTACTAATTCTACGACGAATAATACTACAAACACTAAACTAATACCATTAATAAGAGCACCACCCATACTACTACTCATTCTACTACTCACACTAGCACTAATACTAATACTAAAACTTCTAATAGTACTACTTTTAATAATACTACTAACTCAGCTAATAATACTACAAATAATACTACTACTAATGCTACTACTAATACTACTACGAATGCTACTACTAATAATGGTACTAATAGCACTAATAATGCTAATACTCATACTACTACTCATAGTACAACTAATACTAGTGATAAAACTACCAATAATACAAATACTATTATTATTTCTATAACTAATTCTCATTCTACTACTAATAATACTAATCATAATACTACCATTACTACTAATAATAATAATAATATTACTACAAATCCTAATACTACAAATAGTAACACTAATTCTATTATTCATAATATTACTGATACTACTACTAATGCTACTACTATTATTACTAATATACTAATTTTAGTACCAATACTTATACTACTACTCAGACAGCTATTATTGCTACTAGTCATACTAATAGTCATAATCCAACTACTAAAACTACTACTCATATTATTACAAATACTAATACTATTATTCATAGTAACACTCATACTACTATTAAAAAGACTACTAATAATAATTCTGCTACTTATAATACTACCAATACTACTACAAATACTACTACTAATAGTAACATTAATAATAATATTATTACTACTACCACTGATATACTCCTTATTATTCTACTAATACTAATACTAGTGCTATAAATAATGCTATTACTAATACTAATAATAATACTAATATTCCTTCTACAACTCATAACACTACTATTACTACTATTAAAACTACTGCTAATACTACTAATAATACTATAACTAATGCTTCTATTAATTCCACTTCATATACTAATAATCGTAATAATACTAATACTACTACTCATACTACTACTCATACGACTATTAATTCTACTTCCAATACTACTACCGCTACTAATACTACAACTAATAACATTACTTTTATTAATACTCATACTACTACTAATGCTATTACTAAAACTATTACTAATACTACTACTCACAATAATACTCACAGAAACAATAATACTACTACATATAATATTACTCGTAATACTACTAATACTATAAATTATACTAGAATTAATAACACTACTCACAATACTACTAATGCTACTACACGTACTACTACTCTTACTTCTACCAATACTAATATTAATACAAGTACTCATGCTATTAACAAAACTACTCACAATACTATTACTATTATACATATTAATACATATACTACTACTAATACTACTACTACTATCACTACTAATATTACTAATATACTAATTTTAGTATCAATACTTACACTACTACTCATACAACTACTATTGCTACTAGTTATACTAATACTCATAATGCTACTAATACTAAAACTAACACTTCTACCCATAATATTACTAGTACTAATGTAGGGAGATATTTCTACATCTATTTATTCATTATTATGCCATACATTCTGTAAGTTGTTTCCATCTAGCATCTTGTCTTCAAACATTATGTATATAGTGCCCTTCTATGAGATAATTTGTTATGCTCCATTTATAACTGACTCTGATTTTCTTTTCTTGTTTTCTTTCATTTGTCTCACTTAACTGTTTTGCATATTTCTTTTTGTGTTTTTTGTTCTTATTATTGTGATCGTCGTCGTTGTGGTAGTTTCAGTTGTTTTCTACCTGGTAACATTTAACTTATTTACATAAACTTTCTTTTCCCCAATCCAATTGATGTGTGTTTGTGAATGTGTATAGAGAAAATAAGAGTTGTCTAGTGATTTACTCGTGAATATATAATCAGCTACATTTATTTCTGTTAGCAGGTTCGCACGCACGCACACGCACACACAAATAGGAACATAAGCAACATTTCTGGTTATAGTGATGCATTTATTTAGTAGTCAGTCGTCAATCCTTATACTTTTCATGTATTTTATTCATTGAGAAAATAAAAAAACTGAACGAATTCAAGAGAGAATGCCAAGAAGAGAAATAGATTTCAAAGTGAATCCATGACTTAACATAAGTATAATAATAATAATATCAATTGTAAATTAGTCGAATTATTCAAATAATTCTAATGAATTTTATCATTATTATATTTGTATGCTTATTTGTTTATATATAGTCTTCAATTTTTGCCTTGCGTCGTGGCGCGCTTGCGCACGATACCAAAGGTCCCGCGTTTGAGTTCCTTAAGTGCGGGATGATGGATGCTCACTACCAAAGAGTTTCACATCAGGACGAAACGAACGTACAATGTTTCCACTTTTTCATTGGTGGTCTAAGATTTATCGATTTATGATCTCAATCAAAATTATCTAAAGTGAATTGGTTTAGAATCTTCAATTAAATTGAAACCGTTCAATTTGACATATTGATCTCATTTAAGTTATGTGGTGACTAATAGTTAAAGTCAGGATATTCGTTTCGTTGTATTCGGGACTCGTCATTTGAATTTACCTATATCCCAATGTGGATTTTCACAGTGATATTTGTAAATAAGTGTCGTCATTGAGAGAATCTATTTAGAATGTTGATACACTAATGGGAATTCATCAATTTCACAACTCGACATAAAAAAAACAATTCACAATTCATATATGTTATATAATCTATAAATTATTTGAATTCAGTAACTCAGTGGATAACACATAGATGTTTAATGCTTATGATACTAGATTCGATTTTCAGTGTGAACATGAACACCAGAACTCTGGTGAATTGGAACGAAGTTTAATATATGTGCTGAAACACTGATCTTTATATTGACTTCTAGCTATAATCCATATATAATATGAATATAGTGATTGTAATCTATCAAAATATTAGTCAATTACTCAAACTGTAATTCATTTCTGAATACTAATTAGATCACTCAAATCAATTTTGAATGGTAAAGTTTAATCATTTGATTTCATCATGAAAGATGACATGGACTTTACTGATTAACATTTACATCAAAATCTTAGGTAGTTGAATGTTCGAAGTTGATCAAACGTTCGAAAACAGAAAGTCTAGCAGCCTACTATTCGCTCTTATAGGACGAGCTACTATAGTGTAAGATACATAAGTCATAGCTATAGCTCGCTTTCAATACGGATATTTAAATGTAAACAGTTTTTATATTAATTATTCATAGAAATTAGATACTAATTCACAATTGCTCTATTACTGAATATTCAACTAATCATTCTTCCTTCGATTATTAAAGATCATTAACATTGTAGTGTAATATATAAAAAGAATGATGATTAGTTATCAGTAAAGTAAGACAGTCATTTATCTTATTAGTGAATAATCAACCAAATATTATAACAATTTGATAGAATGATTCAATAAAACTATACCTTTATCTCATCTCAAAGTAAAGAAAAAAGAAGATAGTCAAATGATCGATAATTAGAGCAATACGTTCATTAAAAGTCAGTCAGTCAGTAACAAGGTAGGATCAAGTTGCCATACATTATGAGCATAGCAAGACGAAAACCAGATTCATATAAGCAGTTTATTCAGTGATGTTGTGGTGATCGGTATCCGATATAAACCTTAACTTCGTATACAGTTCGTCTTACTAGCTGTTCTGTATAACGCTTCAACGGTATATTAATCAGAAGGCAAATATGAAGTGTCGACTACGTTTATTGCGAAACTACACACATATATCCAAATGTACAGATGCGTTAAACAAGCATAGAAGAGTTGTGCCTAAAGGCAAACAAGCAAGCCTGAGCCAGAGCAAGAGCGTGACGAGAGCGTGTGATTGAGTGAGTGAGTGAGTGAGTATGAATAACCTGGGCATATATATACCATGTGAAATGAATGAGTAATCGAATCAAATTAGCGGTTAGTAGTAAGACTAGCAGAGTGAATAAATGCGTAGGCAGTAATCAATATTCAAGCATACGTACATCATACAAGTACAAAATAATAAGGGTACAATAAATTGTTATAGTGTGGATGACTTTGTCCGCTAAATCAGTTAGCAAAAGGGCTTA